TTTTTTTTTCTCTCTCTCTCTGTTTCTCCCGACGAAATTTCAAAATAAAGAATCCAGCCCACGGTTTCGTTGTATCGAGCTCCTTCCCACGCTAATCTCTCGTTGATTGACTAGAAGAACCGGGCCGACAGCCAGATCATCAATTACTGTACCTTGAATTAGTTTTTGCATCATGTCGTACGTGATTTGAAGTTTTCTTGGTACGTCCGATCGACAAATGGAATGTTAAGAGCTAGTCGAAGATTAGGGGATCTGAATGTTCGAAAAAAAAAAAATTAAACATTTCAAGTATCAAATGGTTCGAAAATCAGGGAACTCGAACGTTGGATTATTGGAAAATTAGGACGATTATTCAACCATTGGGAAATTAGAAAAATTCGAATGTTGAATTATTGGAAAGTTCGAAAAATCTGAATGTTGAATTGTTCGAAAATTAGGGAATTCAGGTGTTAAAAATCTGTTCGGAAATCAGAAATTTGGGACACTGATGAATTACATACGAATACTCGGGACACTAAAACTTCAAAACTTGACTGAATAACTTATTCAAATCGAATCGTTCGACAATCCAGCAAAGTTGTTTTTTTTTTCTTCTTCTTCTTCAAACGACCGCGTTCTACGAACGATACTTCCAACGCGAGAATCGTTAAGACTAATAAAGAGTTAGGTACTCGTTAACAGAGTTTGCAAATTGATGTGGCTGTCAGCTTGGAAGGATTATTCCCCCGGGATAGAATAGAACCGAAACAGCTAATCAGATAGAATAGCGAGATACAGCTTAAGTACGATACGAGTCAACTTGGCCCATTATGCTAGTAGTGGCGAGATACGCACACACGCTGAGGGGAAGTCTGAGTTTCAGCTTTCCACGGATTTCCCCTTTTCCAACTTACGATTACTTGACGAGTTTCAGAGATCGATATTCACCGCTGTACGGGGACGGCAGAGACGATCATCGATCGCGAGATCGGACAAAAACGGAGGCTTGCATAATCGAATCTTGCACCATTTGTTCTGTGTCTTCTTCAATCCCCATTGAAGGTTTCCCTTGGAATTTCTGTTTCGACTTGAATTTTCAATTTACAGCTTAAACTTCTCCCTTCTCGTTGAAATCTTTTTTTCAAATTCTATCTCGAAACTTGTTCGAGAGTTTCTCCCTCGTCGATCTTTGAATTTTCATTTCCTCCGTCAAACTCGATTCGACGTTTTCTTTCAAATCTTTCCCGATCAGTTTCCATTGTAATAATTCGAGAGAAACCGATCGCATCCGTCCAGTTATTTTCTCTCCCGCAAGGGGAAAGTTTTTGATAAATACAGATCTACCTGGTCCTTCAAACAGTGACGTTCGTCGAAACAGGAGCGTCCAAATTGCCATTCGTGACGGAGACAATCTTCTCTTCGTTGGTATTGCTGTGGATATTGTTGGTCTTGGTCGAATCGCGAGGACCATCGAGGAAGTAGGTGACCATGCTACCTTTGCCCTTCACCTGAATGCTGCCGCGGCAGGTGAGCGGATATCCTTTGGCCGCGAGGATGTCCCGAACCTCCTCTGTCACCTGAATCCCGTCCAACACCCCTGTTGACTCCATTCTCGAGGCCACGTTCACCGCGTTCCCCCAAATGTCGTATTGCGGCTTTCGAGCGCCTATCACACCGGCCACAACCTACGAATCGGACAAAATTCGTATTGAAAGATTAATAGTTACTGACTAATAAAATCAGCGCGCTCTTTACACGCTTGGAGATTTTCGTCTACTGACGGAATTTATCCGCAGAACAAATTAAATTCAAATGAAAAAAGTCATTATCTGATCCTCTGCGTTTCGAGTTTCCCGTCCATCGGAAATTGAAATTATTCACGTTATATAATTATAGATTACAACGACAATCTTCGCGCATTCGGGGATTTGCTGGCAATTTATTTATTTGCGGGATAGCAGGTGAAGTGTACTGCTTCAAGTAAAACGGAAGTCGTCGCTTCGTTCAATTCTTCGTTTGAAGAAAACCGACGATTAACGAGCGCGTGGAAATTCTCATAATTTTAAACTACGCGTAGCTGCGAAATTCGGAGGATTCGACGAGTTGAAGTTTCTGAGGAAACGTAAGATAGTTCAGGGCAAAGCTGGCTAACTGGCGGCTCGCCCCCACTTTCCTCATCGCCAGCGCTATCCCCTCCACTGTCGTGCATGAGCCCCATTCTTTCACTGACACGGTGGAGGGGGTAGCGCTGGCGATGAGGAAAGTGGGGGGCGAGTCGCCAGTTAGCCAGCTTTGCCCTGAACTATCTTATTTTCCCTCACAAACTTCAACTCGTCGAATCTTCCAAATTTCGCGTATTTTAAATATCAAAATTTTTACGCGTTCGTTAATCGTCGGTTTTTTTTTTTT